AGATAAAATTATCTATATAATATTTATTAAGTTTGATTTCAAGTAAAAACCTAAATAGCTAAATAGAAATATTAACCTAATTGTTTTTCAATGATCATAATAAAACACAAAAACTATGATAATATTTCATAGGCTATGTAGTGATTCCCTAGAAATTTTAGGAACTTTATTTTATGTAGTACATATTTTATAAACATAATTTGTTTTTAAATTGTAACATTTCAAACTTTAAACAAATTTTGAGTGTAGACTCCTATCATTTTTAATACTCTATTTTATTTTTATTTTTTAATTAATTTTTATTTGGTCCACGGGCCAGCCCTATCCATATTTTCTCAAGCCCTACAAATCGACAAAAGCTTATTCAGGCCGGGCTAAAAAGTTTTTTTCTTAAATGGGCTCCAAAAATCATAGCCCATCAAACTTTAAACAAATTTTGAGTGTAGACTCCTATCATTTTTAATACTCTATTTTATTTTTATTTTTTAATTAATTTTTATTTGGTCCACGGGCCAGCCCTATCCATATTTTCTCAAGCCCTACAAATCGACAAAAGCTTATTCAGGCCGGGCTAAAAAGTTTTTTTCTTAAATGGGCTCCAAAAATCGTAACCCAACCCTACCAAATCACGGGTTAAACCAGGCTAACCCAACGGGCCTAGCCCATATTGACGACTCTAGAGAAATGCAAGTTCAACTGTCCATAGTATGTGAAAGAATTATATTAAAGACTAGACACTACAACTTGTGTTCAATTTTATTCTTTTATTGAAGACTGCCCATAAATGTTATAATTTTTAGAGTAGCTTTGTGATAGTATAATATGTGATTTTATAAACTTTTGCTTATTTTGTAAGATTGTATAAAGACTTGAGACAATTTTAATAATTTTTACAACTTATAATTTTTTTTTTATGTTTAAGAAAACGTACGACATAAAAATATCTAAATTATATGTAGAAACAAAATTTCAACTTCATATTATATTTTTATATGACGATTAATTTCATATTGCATGCGGAACGAACCCTAACATGACGGATGGTTCATTTACTTTGATTTTAAAAAAAAGGTTTTGGGTCATAAAGGTAAATTGGGATATTATTGGTCACTCCGTGATTATAACGCAAAGTGAATGGTTGACAGGGCAGTATAAAAGAGTGGAAATTGTTTTAGGTCGAAAGAGAAAAAGGAGGTATTCGGAGAGCGAGACGAGATTTTCAGGTTTCTTCATTTGCCTTCTCCGATCTCGATCTCGATCTCGATCTCTGTCAATGGAGAACTCCCGCCGTCAGTCCCTTCTTCCAAGCTTTCTCTATTCCCCAACGTCTTCTTTTTCTTCTTTAACTCCCAAAACCCTTGCTGTTCCAGAAACCACCAATGTTTTGCCTCCTGCCAACAACAACCTCCTTATTCCGGCACCTACCGAACCTGGTAAGATCGAGATGTACTCCCCGCAGTTCTACGCTGCCTGTACCTTCGGTGGCATCCTCAGTTGTGGTCTAACTCACATGGCTGTCACTCCACTCGATCTCGTCAAATGTAACATGCAGGTACAAATTGTGTTCATCTCATTTGCAGATCTGTCCATTTCTCACACGATTTCAACTCATTCTTCTATTTATCTCTCTATATCCGATCTGACTTGTATATTATTGCTCATCTTCTAGATCTAAATTTTTAATGTAGTGTTATGGCCATTCCTCTGTGATGGAGGAGAGGAAGACGCCTTATTGTATTTTATTTAAGATTTTAATTGGAAAATTATTGTTTCAGATCTTAGTGCAACTTCTATTATCCCCTTTGCTTTTCTCGACCATGGGAGGATGGATTGTATTTATCTCTGAAACTATACAACAACAAACCTAGTCTAATCCCACTAGTGAAACTTTATCTTCTTGTATTGTTTCTATTTCTTACGTTACATTAGTCATGAAGCATCTAAACTGACCGAAATTGTATAAATTACTAGATTGACCCTGCGAAATACAAGAGTATATCATCTGGATTTGGCATCCTTCTTAAGGAGCAAGGTCCCAGGGGATTCTTCAGGGGATGGGTTCCTACCCTGTTAGGTTACAGTGCTCAGGGTGCATGCAAGTTTGGATTCTATGAATTCTTCAAGAAGTACTACTCTGACCTTGCGGGAGCAGAAAATGCTGCAAAATACAAAACACTGATATACCTTGCTGGTTCTGCATCTGCCGAAGTGATTGCAGATATTGCTCTTTGCCCATTTGAAGCTGTAAAGGTTCGTGTTCAGACACAGCCTGGTTTCGCTAGGGGATTGTCAGATGGATTGCCGAAATTTGTTAGATCTGAAGGTCCCATGGGGTATGCTATGTATCTTTGTTTTGCACATTCCTTAATATGTACCTTATAGAACAGATTTTTATATTTTGGTACATCTGTGCAGCCTGTACAAAGGTTTGGTACCTCTTTGGGGACGTCAGATTCCATGTAAGTGGAACCATCTGTTTATTATCATTGAAGAACTTGTTTATTACTTGGGCAATTCAATTATATGAGTAGGGGTATGATTACTCAAATGAGTGAAGTTTTTTTATGTTTGCTAGAATTCATAAAGACTATGGTTGTTTAGTTGAACCTGTCTTAAAAAACAATTAAACCTCCAAATGCGAACCTCACCTCGCTACCCTCAGAAAGAGCTTGTGCTAGTTTGGAATAGTTGTTTGAGCAAAATAGCCTCTTACTTCCTGTGTTAAATAGAACAAATAGAGATTATTTTCTCCTTGTCTGTTTTATTATATTGCGTCAGTCAACTTATTTATAATTGGGTTCTAGGCCCCAGAATGTTTGGGAGTGTAAAATGGCTGGATGAGGGCTTATGTTTGGATGCAACAGTTATTAATTGTCATTGCTGATGGAAATTATTCTCTCTTTCTTGTTCTGGTAATGGCTTCCCTTTAGTTAGGTGAATGTAAGAAATCTAGCTCTGGCCTCTGTGATATAAAGTAATACAGTACATATTAAGGGGCTGGGTCCTCCATGTCATGATGTTTTTTCTGCTATTGGTTGCTAAGGCTCTAGAGGATGGATAAATTTGAGTGGTGTTGGTAATTCACCTAATGCCTATTTTATCACACCACTGTGTATTTGTTTTATTAGTTCATATTTGGTTGTGCTGTTGTTCTTTTAATAGTGACCTTGGTTTAGTTATTATTTATTGGACATTAAGAATTAAACATCTAAAATTGCAGATACAATGATGAAGTTTGCGTCCTTTGAGACTATTGTGGAGATGATCTACAAGCATGCAGTCCCAAAGCCTAAAAATGAGTGCAGCAAATCTATGCAACTTGGTATTAGTTTTGCTGGTGGATATATAGCTGGTGTCTTCTGTGCTATTGTATCCCATCCTGCTGACAATCTTGTCTCATTCCTCAACAATGCGAAGGGTGCAACTGTTGGTGATGTAAGCATTTAGTAGTTTGTTGGACCATCTCTTTCTCTTCCCCTTCAATTTTCTTATATGTCCTCAAGCCATTAATCCGCCATGTGACACCCCCCGTTTGTTTTTAACAAAAAAACTATGTCCTCAGGCCGTAAAGAAGATAGGAGTATTGGGTCTCTTTACCCGTGGTCTACCTCTACGTATTGTCATGATTGGAACTCTTACTGGTGCTCAATGGGGAATCTATGATGCTTTCAAGGTTTTTGTTGGGCTGTAAGTGTCTTCTTCTAACTCATAACTGGACATTCTAAACCTGTCTGCTTTTCCTGTATCAGTCTACTTTAAGATATTAATTTTTATGTTTGCTTCATTTTTTCTGACTCGATTTGTAGGCCAACAACTGGTGGTGTTGCTCCTGTTGTACCTGCTGACTCTGAGGTTGCGAAGGTGTAGGATTGAGAACAAATTAATTCTTCACTAAGTTTAAAAGTAGTAAAGAGAAGACTTCCTCCAGATTAAACAATAAACATAGATTGCAGATGTTTCTTTAGTGCTCTTTCGTAGTAAGCTGGAGAGTGTTCTTTCGCTCAACAATCTTTACAATTTTATATTTCTCTGATTTTGAGATTTTGGAGAGGGGGAGTTCCCCTAAAACTTAAGCATTGCGGATGTCTTTTTTGTTAGAATAGATACAAAATCAATTTGATGCTAAGCTTTTCCCATTCGAGATGGGAATAACAAGTATATTTGAGGCTATATGTTTGCTCTGTCCATTTTAACTGTCCAATGTACCAAAATATGTTTTTTAAAAAAAACTTTCCGGAGCCACAGCTGAAGAATGATTTTGGTTAATCCCTTCTCTAATTCCCACTGTTATATGAGTTTGTTTTGCGACTCTGGCAGGCAGGGATCCTTATACCCACCCTATCCCTGTTATCGTTTTATCCTGCACCTAATCTGTAGGTTCTTATTGTCATTTCTTGTGCTATTCCCCGTCTGAATAGCGTAATCAGTTTTTGAAGCAATATTTACTTGCACCAAAAGGAAAAAAATGAACAATTATAATCAACTTAAAGAATCTTGTTAGCTGCTAGCACATAGAACAGAAAATGAGCTGTGAGATGTAGAAAACTAGTTCGCCACAATAACTTATTGATAGAATTTTCCTACCTTGAACCAAACAAAACAAAATTATGAAAAAACTCCTCTCTAAGACAAAAAAGCTCGAGTGACAAAAAACTACAAGACATGAGTAACTTGTAAAAATAATTGGGTGCCTGCCATTTGAGTAAAAAAATTTAATTAGACGAGACAAACATCAAACACATTTTAGTGCTAAATGAAGTAAGCGCCTTTTTTTTATTTCATATTTTTCCTTTTCTAAAGTCTCCACCAGCTTATTAGTAAAGAGTTTTTGACCAAACTAACAAAAGCCAACCTAAGAAAGTAGAGAGTCAAAACAGAAACCTTAACTTACTAGTAAAGTTTCTTGTGCTAGTAGCTGGAGTATCAGCTTTTTGCTTCAAAACGCTACTGGTAAGAGTATGCATTAGATTACAAGGCAGCATGGGATTAGTAGTATGTCTTCAGTAGAAATCATCAACACTGAAGCTGTCTTCAATGGACCCAAAGCTTGGCATTGGATACACATTAGTTGAGTAATAGGTCATAGGACCCCCTACAAAATCGAAGGCAGGCTCGTTCCAGAAGCTGGTATCATAAATGAAGGACATGCCCATCTCGTTGTCCATTGCAGGGAAGTAAAAGCTGGACATATCCATTTCTGGTTCATTCATAATAATCGCTCCATTCCCATCATCTGCAGCCTGTGCATAATCAGTTAAAATCACGTCCTCCGCTTCATAACCACGGAATACGGCTCCACTTCCAGCTTTCCTCGCTTCAATGCCCTATACACAAAACATATCCATATATAGCCTTTGACAAACTACTTCAAAGTAAACTACGCCACACCAAAGAGCAAGCTTACATAAATCTGCTTTTGATCATTGTAGTGGAGTGCAAAGTAGTCTCCTTGGCGCAATTCATGTGTTTGGACAAAGTCACCTGACCATCAATGCAAGTTTCAAATCCAACTGTTTTTAGCAAAGTAGTAAATATACTTGGAAAGCTGTGGAGATCTCACCAGTATTTTCAAGCACATACATTCGGCTGCTGTTATTTGGCCAGTACCTATAAAACATAGAGTAACTTCATCAAATTATATTCTGGTCTTGACACTTGAATCTACGTACATGACTTACAAAACATCACTCCGTCAAGTAAACTTGGAAAGTTAAAAGGCGACCTCCCACCTGTATCTGAAACTCCAAACATGGATACCATCCATGTCATCCATTGTGATGGGAAACCCTTCTTTGATCTCAAGAGCTGGAAGATATCGCTCAGCTGCTTTCTGAAATTAACCACAGCATAGAAATGTTACTTCAATGTATACTAAAAACAAATGTTTCTAAATGCATATCACCTTGGGCACAACGATTCTTCTCAGGGAGCTGACATCACTGTTCTGGAGCTGCTTGTCAAAGAGAAATCTGAACCCTGTTGGTTCAAGTACCTGAAGCATAAACAACACTTATTAATGTGTGATCTCAAGAGATGGTCCAGAGGAAAATGTAATGTATTGTTTGTTTACCAGAAAGAGAGGGTATCAAATGAACTACATTGCCAAGGATAGATGACCAAAATGTTAGTTTGCTTCAATAGAATGATTAAATTTTCAGCTTCATTGTCTTTTACATATAAAGCATCATACCTATATCCCACAAATTATTGCATATAGGTTTTTTGCTCCTTTGTGGACTGGCCGGCCGGATATATAATTAAGCTAGCTAGGTATTTCATATTTTTCCTTATTCATTGATGGGAATCCAACTATTTCCAAATTCCTCAAACAGATGTGACAACAGGTCAGTGGATGAAATTTCTGACTTCCAACTGCCATTAAGGAACACCTTTTTACTTGAATGATCTTCACAGTACTAAGAAAATCTTATAATCAAATTCAACAGATGAACTCAGTCAGGTCGCAAAGTAGTTGAATTAGATTGGTAGACAATGTTCCTTAGAAGTTAATTTCTTAATTAACATGGTAACTAAGTCTATGAGCACAGAGAAAATGACCATAAGCCCAATCCATCAGGAACAAGTGGTAAAACCATGATTGGCAGGGAAGCATATCATTCGTTCTTCTTTCTTTGGGATAGGTGCACAAAAAACGTCACACACCTACCGTTTAGGTGGGCAGCAAGATCTATAGATGCTACTTATGACTTACAGTCCTGTAGTAAGTAGTATCATGTAAGAACACAACTATAACATCTTAGCTATTTCCCGAATAAAGTTCTTATAGCCTCTCATTATATTTAGATTCTAATTTGGCTGATATATTGACAGCTATGGATTTCCAAAAAAAATAATATAATAGAAGATATTTCTCTATTTGCACTCCTTCAAATAAATCTTAGACCTTAGATGACTTCACTCATGCTATTCAAGTTTTCACTAATAATGGCACAACTCACAAAGCATGGAGCTAGAGAAGTGCATTAATTGATATCAAGCCGACTACCTTTGCCATTATATCTACACTATAGTTATCAACATCTTTCGCCCAACAATGCATATCTAATGATACAATTTAACAAGCCCCAACATGAGTAGTTTATGTTGTTTTCTATTTATGTTAAATCCTATATGTATCATATGAGTCCATATGTCAATACACATTACTCATGCGATTTTGAATTTTCTTGGGTCATGGTGAGGAGGTAAGTGCATTATTGATAGTACACCGGCCACTTTAGGCATTATAATTGCACCATAGTTGTCAATATCTTTCACCCACTACCCAATACATATCTAATGATACAATTTAACAAGTGCCAACATGTGTAGTTTATGTTGGTTTCTATTACATTTGTTAAGCCTATTGGTCTCTCATGAGTCCAATATGTGAAATAACATTATTCTTATACTTATAGTTTGCTCTGAAGTTTGTATGTTAGTGTAAGGACAAGTATGAGATCAAGACAATCTCTAGTTTAAGAGAATTCATGTTTTACAAATTGTACTAAGTATTGGAAAGAAATGGGATATGATGGAACAATATAGAAGAACCATATAGTTAATCCGAACAAGTTGGAGTTGAGGTGCGCTTGTAGCGGTATGTGCTACATTCTAGCGATGCAATTTACACAGCAAGGTCGGAATTGAAGTGTACTCATGGTATATGTGTCATGTTCCATACAACAAGGAGATTAGATTGGGTGTTTAATTATGCCTTCTTGCAAGTGTTGTCTACTTAGTTATTGCTTTATAATGGCACAGTATATAAACATACATTCAAACTTGGCCTTTGCTAGCAAGTTAACACTCCAATTTTGAGTATGCACATCTAGACACTCCAATTTGTCTCCATTGTGTCACTCCAACTTACAAAATGATCATCTAGAGTGTCGAGTGTCAATGAGACACAATGAGTTGGTGTGTTTAGTTGTCAATTGAGATGTCTAGATGCACGTACACTTTCAAAGTTGAAGCGCTTACTTGCCAATTGAGGCCAGTATGCTTATGTATTATGCCCTTTGCAATCGACCCATAAAGTCATTCCTCAATTTTTGATCAGGACTTTTTAATATATAATTTCCTCATAAGTCATGCCAATCCAATGTCTACTTGTATTGGAAAAAGAAAAGGATCGTCGTTTGTTTGACAAATAATAAATGGATATTGTAGTTGTTTTGGCTCACTTATTATGAACCTCGAACAGCACGATGACATGGTATTTCAACCAAAAGACAACAAGTAATATATGCTAAGACGTCTTGTAACTTTAAGATCTTTGTGAGATCGATGACACTCAAATAGGAATAATTACAATACTTTTTACAGAGTTAAGCATAAAAAAGTTAGTGTGAGATAGACTAGGTAGAGGGGGATGTTGTAAAGAATATAAGCTCTTTCCAGCTAACAGGTGAGGTGATGGTCGGGTCGGGTCCGATCCGATCCGATACATACACATTATTTCTACTTTTATTATTATTATTTTATAAGTACCAAATAGAGTAAGCTAAGGACCCCAAAAAAAGAAAAGATTAAACTCTAGTCTTCCCCCAAAAATTAAGAAATTGTTATGATTTCAAGCATCAAATTATTAATATTAATAAAAGAAAAAAGAGAAAGAGGGTCATACACGTGCGGCGGGCAAAGGAGGAGGAGGTGGTGGCACGTGTGAGAGAAAATCCAGGGAAGTGAAGTTGAGGGAAGAACGCCTACGCCTCTGGCTGCGACTTCTTTTGGTGGGAGTGGGAGTGGGAGTGGGAGTGGGAGGATTCATCATACTGTTGTTGTTGTTGTCCCCTACAACAATATTATTTCCATCTGCCATCACTCCATACGCCTCGGTTATCTCCATCATCGCCATCACCAATGCTTTGCTTCTTCAATCTGTAAAAAATAAAAATAAAAAAGCTCTCTTCCTCTCTTTTAGTGATATTGAGAAATGTGGGTGGGAGAATAGTGCAATTATGACTACATTGCACAAATTCAACTGACATTTGTGCAACGTTGATGAGCCAATCCATTGGGAGTCGGGAATTGGATTCATTCATTCACTATATATTAGTGGGTAAGGAGTTGTCACTTTGTCTTTGTTAAGTGTGAACGGTCGAAACTTCAATTTGCAAGTGTTCCGAGGGAAGGCAAGCCAGGTGTTGAAAAAGCTCTGATATCAAATCAATGGTGTTTTTCTTTTAGCTTTGGAGTTTCCGTCATTCATTATTCATTACTTAAACTCCATCACACAGTTTATGAATTATGGAACTTCTAATTCCATCGGACATGGACATAACCACCTTTTCTCCTCTCTTCCTGCCTAATTCATTATCAGTCACATTAATATCAACCATTTATTATCTAAAAAATCATACTCAATTGTTATGATTACATGACATAAAAATATCATTTGAATTTTGTGTGTTTGGTTCCCCCTGTAATTACATGGGTCTACAATTTTTTTAATTTCTTCCTTTTATTTCTATTTTTATTTTTTCCATTTTAATATATTTTTTATTTTTATTATTCTAATATTTTCTAAATTATTTAATATTATATATATTTCATTTCCTTCTCATTTTCAACTTTTACTTCATCTGATTCCATGCAATTTTTTGTATTATCTAAAAAATTCATTAGTATAATTTTACTAGTATACTAATTTTTAAATTAAAGTAGAATTTATTATTGAATAAAGTTATGGACTTACATTTTTTTTTAAAAATAAATAAATCATATTTATGTATGTTATGTTGAAATTTGACATAAGAGTATTATGTTAATTTTTTTATTTTTAACTTATGTTGCATTTTCAGTTTCATTTGTTTTAAGAGTATTGACTCGATATTTTACATTGCAAGCTATTTTTTATAAAGTTAGTCTTCAAATGTTTTATAATGTTATGACATGATATTTATAATATTAATCTTTTTGTCAGACATACATTTCTTAACGTTCATAGAAATTTTGTACTTTTAGTTTTATGATTAATTTGATTAAAATATACTACATTGAAAAATATAAATATTATATTTTATAATATTAGTTAAGAACATATACTTATTAATGTATTCTTAAAAGACAATATATATCTTAAATATTCAATTTAATATAATTTATAAAGGCTCTTATTTGTCTAATAACTTTTTTTTAATTCTTAATAATTAACTTTTACTTTTAAAATTTAATATAATTTTATGATTGCAATTGTTCATCCAAACAGGAAATATGTAATTACATTGTGGCTAACAAACATGTCAATGTAATTACTAGCATGTGTAATTATTAGACTGATAGTAATTACATCAATTCCAATTACCTGGGAACTTTCCAAACAGACCCTTAATCTAAATCTTGTTTCACCTTCATGGTTATCTCAAAATAAATCGTTTCCTCAAAGATTTTAAGGCAATCCAATTTTTTCTTTCAAAATCTAAACTGTTATATTAAAATATTGATGTATTATATAAACACAAAAAAAACAATTAAAATGGATTCAGTGTTAGCTTTAATATGAAGTTACGGAGGAAATCACAGGGGAGTATGCTAATCAAATGGAGGGCTCTCATAGGATAGGGGTTTTAGTCTTAAGTTAGGTTGGATTATGGTTCTTGTATTAAGCAAATTCAAGTGTTAAGAATTAATATTGTTGTTTATAGTAACGTACCATAGTAGTCGTCTTGTTTATTATTATATTATTAATAAGTATGATTTGTGAGTCAAAATTTTACTTAGATAAAATTATTATTGGTCTGAATTGAACCCTTATTTTTTTAATTGTAAAAGAGAGCAAAATCTGTTCTTTGCTCCCTTTAAAAAATGTCATTTCATCGATGATCCATTCATTTATATTTCTAATCGAAGTACTTCTTTTAATTATGTATAACTCACATAAATTACATAGTGTAAAGAGTAAATTATTAGTTTCTAATTTGTTTGTTAATCGGTCCAATTGGTTTATATATTTCAGGCCCTACTTTTAAAGGTTGGGCTCTCGGTGGGGGCGATCCCTCACCTTATTTTATAGTAGGTGATTCCTCACCTTATTTAACTTACTAGTTGTATGTTTTTTAAGTAGCATTTTTCTATTTATTCATTGTATTTGAGTCGAAAATTTCTTGGAAATAATTTATTTACCTATGCGAGGTATGTATTAGTCTATGGCTATGCACACTCTATTCTCCTCAAAATTCGTGATTTTATTAGGTACGATGTTAGTGTTGGTGGTGTCAAATATTTTTATTGGATTTGGTCAAATTCAAATTCGTGTGAGAAAATCATGATCCACATTTTTTGTCTTACTATTTAAGTTCAAATACAAAGAGCTCCAAAAAAAGCAATTAAGATTTAAGATATTTTTCACTTATTTGAAATTTATTGAGTTGAAAGTGAAGACGTGGTTATATATGTAATTTTTTTTGCAAAAATATTTGGAATAAAGTAGAATGTAGTTAAATACAACTTGAAAATAACTTATAATCTATTTTCTAAATTTGAAATATAAATTGAGTTGATTTTAGTATTTTTATGGCTAAATATTGATTTTCAAATATTATTCATAATGTGTCATGCACTTTGATTTAAGTACATACATTAAAACAAAGCTTTCAGAATCCTTTTAAATAATAGTTTCCTTTATTTTAGAATAATAGTAGAGTAATAGCTTTTATTTATTTATAAGAAGAAAAGAGAAAAGAGAAAAGAAAATTGTTGAAAGGGAGGCGAGAGAAGGCCCAAAATAGTCTCTCATCTTTGGGTTAAGACTCAAAGTCATCCTTGAGTTTTCACATGAAACACTAATAGTCCTTCATTTTGCAATATTGGTACACTTTTGGTCCTCCCCTAGACTTTTGTCTATTTTTTAACATTAATTTTGTTCATAATTTTATGTAAGGAATGTCACATCGTCTTTTTATATATTTAATAGAAATAATAACTATATTTGAGAGAAGGTGAGAAGAAGAACATTTTGTTCTGTTCAGTATAAATATTACTGCAGCTAAACTAAGAATATTTTAACATATGATATTGCAATTACACGTAAAATCGTCGTGATGAACCTCTCGACTGTACCTGCAATATGATTTCTACTAAACAAAACAAAATGTTTTTCTTCTCACAATCTCTTACATGGAGTTATTATTTTTACTAAATATATAAAATGATAATTAAACATTCCATACATAAATTATGAAAAAAATTAATGTTAAAAATAGGCAAAATTTTGAAGGAGGATCAAAAGTGTACCAATATTACAAACATGAGGGACTATTAATGCTCCATGTGAAAACTTAAGGATGATTTTGAGTTTTAACTCAAACATGAGGACTATTTTGAGCCTTTTCTCAAAGGAGGCGGAAGGGCAGTTGAAAGGGTGGAGTTTCCGGCTCTGCGCAAAACCCTAGTTTGGGGTGTTCCTCTGAAAACAAAATGGCAGAAGCGGGACAAGACGAAGAAGAACATACATTCCCCCTAAAAAGAAAGCCCCAAGCAGAAGAAGCCATTGCCAAATCTCACGAAGACGATGTAAACAAGAAGCAAAAACTCTCTATTACTGATTCTTCACTCGCCGCCCAGGAGAAAAAAGTTGAAGAGGACGAAGAAGAAGATGATGAAGATGACTATGAAGGTGATGATGAAGAAGATGAGCAGTCCAATGGAGAGGCGGAAGTCGATCGTAAGGGAAAAGGGATTTTAAGGGATGACAAGGGGAAGGGAAAGTTGATTGAGGACTCTGACGATGATGATTCTAGTGATTTTGGGAGCGATTCTGATGTTGAGACTGATACTGACCTCTCCGAGGATCTACTGGCCGAAGTCGATTTGGGTAACATTATTCCCTCCAGGACTCGACGGCGTACCCATCAATCTGGCCTTAAGATATCTGATGATCCCGTTAAAGGTGATAAGTAGAAATGCTTAATTGAGTTTTGAGCTTCCAAAAATGCGCTATGTTTATGTTTTAAAACTTTCAGTATTTAGATAAGACAAGTCTTTCAGCTTCTCATCCTCCTAGTCGCAATAGTTTCATTTCGACTTGGATCTATGTAGTTGGGGAGACTATATTACCCTTAACCAATTTTATTAATATCTCTTACAATTGGTTTCTTGCTCTTGTTTACTTCCCTCATAGTTTCAATTTTTTATGCTTCACAAATTGTTATTGCTATCTGTAGGCTGTAGCAAGTGTGGCATCTTCTATGTAGGCTTTGAGATTGGCTTATATGAACTCGGTGATAGATAGCCTTATCTCTGAAAATGAAAATGAAATGTTTATTTGACATCAATGTTTCCTGTCTAAGATAGATAGATGTTTAACATGCTCTGCAATTATGTAAATGCAGTATCAGTTGGAAATAAGTTTCATGCCTAATTCAGTACTGAATTGTTGTTTAACAGGATGTTACCACTCTTTCTTATGCTTTTGTACATGCGGAAGAACAGGTCATTGTTTGGTAATCAGGCTGTTTCTGTGTTGTAAGAACTAGTCCTTCGGAGGAATACCATTCTTGATGTTTAACAAGTTTGTGTACCAATCCTTAACTGCTGATTTTGTCATCTCATTTCCATTTGCATGAAACATTACAATGTTCATATTGTTTATTTAACCACTTATTTTGGTCGTTCAAGAGAAGCCAGCATCTACAAAATCATGTGTGTGCACTACTGCTCTTTGTTTAACCTAGCTTGACTGATTATCAGTTCTGGTTTTAAGCAGTTAGTTCCTCTGTCTGAGATATGACCATGGTTAGGGAAACAGGCATTTAGGAGTCTTGAAGTGAGAGAAGGAGGGCATACATGACCAGGTTATGACTGCATGGTTGACTCTAATCTGAACCTAGGGAGGATATAAACAACTTGGTTTAACAT